ATATAAATAAACAAATAGATTTGTATTGTAATGCAAGCGTTTATAAACTATAAAAAAAATTAATGATTAGAACGAATGGAGTTACCTATTTAATTAATCAAGTCATCCCCTTACACCTTGTATACTATACAATATTGCATTTGGAGTACGATGAATAATTTTATTATTGTTTTTCTTTTCTCACTTTTTCAATTTTGTTTATTGTTGTGTTTTCTTTCAATTTATAAGAATTGGTACCTACAACGATACTGTGAGGCAAGAAATAAAATAAATTACGCCGATAATAATTATAAATTATTATTTCATTTATTGTGTTGAAATTGATTGGAAATTGATGGTATACCTATCCGTGAATATTTTTAAATGGACGCAAGTCTAGACCGATTGTTTGAAACTTCAAAAATACGTATCGCTGTAATTTACTAATAATTATGGTGTTGAAGTAAATGCGAAAATGAAAATTATTAATTGTTCGACAGCTACAGATATACAAATATTCACTTTTGCTACCTATTCAAATAATAATAACCGAATTATTTTATGATGACAATAGTTCCACGAAAAATACATTTAGAAGTTTTTTTATTTTAACCGAAACACAATACTCGCGTCGACTACATTGTTGTTATAAATTTGCATTTTATTCAATAACACTAATTTGGCTCACATATAATAGTATAAGATGTAAGTATTGTTGTTGGATTTTAATTTCAATTTTAATTATCGATATCAGTTTTTAACGATTTAAATTTGAAATCATTTTATGCTGCTTTCATAATTTCATCATGATATTAATATTGTTCCACAATATCGATTTAATCGGTTTTCTCTGTTTTGCAGTTAGATTTTAAGCTTCATTTTTTTTTATATTTAATTTTGAGCGTCCGAGGTTTACTGATTTTGACGAATTCGGACATTCACGAGTAACTTAACCATTTCTCGTCAAATGATTTTGTTGTCATTCAAAAACGAATGACCATATCGTGTGTCTGGAATAAAAAGGTTCTTCGCATTTTTTTCAAAAGTCACTTTTTGACTAAAACGGTTTTAGAATGGAAATGAGCATAATATTTTAAGCTATTTTAATAATATCGTACAATATTTTTGTAATAGTAGCCAGCCGGTATTTATAGACTTAATAATATTATTATAGTTTGAATTTTAAAACTATTTACCATATTGTTATCGATTTCAATTGCTGCCAATTTATATTTATTATTTTGTTTTAATATTTTTTTAAGACGATGATGTGATACCTAATGTGTTTTTTCCTACTTATTAGTGTGAGTTTGAGTCCAATAGATATAATAGTTATAGGTGGTATATTTTATTACAATATGTACCTACACGGCTACACAATTTTGAGTACTGAGTAGTGAGTTCTGAGACTGAGGGTAGTAGGGTAACATTTATAAAAATTATAATCTAGCATCCATCTGCAATATAATTAAAATAATTAAATTAGGTAGGTAGGTACTAGGTATATTAAAGCACATAACGTTAAAGAAATTTAATTATTTATTTGCTCAAATTGTTAATAATTATTGTTTTTGATTAAACATTAAAATAATGTAAAAACAAATGTTATTATAATTATTCATGTTGCATGTGTCGGTTACACTGACAAGAAGAAAAATATTGTATAGCACTACAGAAAAAGAAAAAAGTTCTATGCATAACATATCATTTAGTTGGAAGAATGAAAAGGTTCTATACAGATAACTTTTTTCTTCTTATATACTTTTTTCCCAGTTTTTTGGTTTTTATAAAATGTATGGATGTCCAATACTTAATACTCACAATGTATCTAACAGTAAATGTATTAATTTATTTATTAAAATTATAGTGATATTCATAAAATGAACAGAAAAAAAGATATTGGGTATTAAAGTTAAAAATCGCTCTGCTGAACAATTTGATATTCTGACATAGAACCTTTTCATTCTCAGCCCGCGATATTGTACAATATAACATCAATATGTATATTATGTCAATACGAAAATTTCAAATCTAACCATTAATGCGTAACCCACTACAACAATTAAACTTGATGGTAAATCTTATAATTTAAAATCCGTCATCTGTCATCATGGTACATCTATGAATGATTTTACATAAAAAAGAAATGGCTAAGACGCAATGACACTTCAATAAATTTTGAACGATGGCCACGAGGGGGTAAAGATGTATATATTATAACAATGGAAAAAAATTGAATGTAACATTAAATAAACAAACATAATGACAATATAATAATATAATAAATAGTTATTAAAACATAAAACCTGCAAATCATATTACCTTCCGATACATAAAAATATGTTATAAAAAAACTATTGATATTCCAACAAAAACACATCGTCGAATTGCTAAGTAAAAAAAAACTTTTCATCTTCAGCTTTATAAAGATACCTATGATATCACTAATAATTGCTAAGTACACTAAATTAAAAAAAAAAAAAAAACAGTTATTTAAAAGACTTACGCGTTATACAGATCTGATATCATGAATAAATGTGAAATAAATTAAATTACTATATTCTATCTCAATAATTTATTTACTTTGCGAGAATTTATTTTAACAAACAAACATGTCTGTTCGTAACTGGACTTTTTAACAATTAATTTCTATTACGAATGTTACTAAATGTGTTTTGTAAAAAGGTATTAATTATTAATTTATAAATAAAATAAATTCTTGCAAAGTAAATAAATTATTGAGATAGAACACATTTATTTTTAATTTAATTTACTTCGCATTTATGATTATTAAGATCTTTATAATGCTTAAGTCTTATAAATGACTGTTTTAGCTTCTGAGTGGAACGATGAATCTAATGATTTTACAATGATGTGTGTGTTTTTTTATTTTTTGTGTCTGTCATCATGGTTCGATGGGAAAGTGAATCTAGTTAGCGCGTTCGGGAGGTCAAATTTTAAGATTCCCAATAGTTTTCAAGAGCGCTTGTAAAAACAACATAAAAATTAAGGAAAAACAGGAAATTTTCAACAAAGTCGATTTTGGTTTTTAGTGTAACTCTAAAACAAATGTATGTATATACATGAAAATTTCACTGGTTGTTTATATTTCCATTTTCTATACACGATAAAATTTTCAAAATATTATGATTTGTTTTGACCTGTTTATGAACTGTTTTTACTCTTTTTGAGCTGTTAAAGGACATTTTCATTTTTTTAGTTTTTTTTTTTCTATAAATATCAATAAAGTTTTATCTGTTGGGCCCAAAGGTGTAAAAATTGAAAACAAGGCTCCCGATATATTGTTACATATCAGTTGAAAAATATTAAAAATACATAGTCACATTTTTTTTTTATAAGCATTTAAAGATCGAATTTTGACAAAATTTATCAAAATTAAAATTGAATAATTATTTCGTAATTAAAAATTTATAAAATGTTCAAATTTTATATCTAAGGTCTAAAAATGTATAACAAGATTCCACTTAAGTAGTTAATTCTGTTACCAAAAAATTTATAAAATACATACAGTTTATTTTTATACTCATTTTAAGTTCAAATGTAGACGAAATTACATAATAAAAAACCTAGAATAACTATTTTAGTTATTTTGTTGTGATTGTATAATATTATTCGTGGGTACTTTAAACTTTTAAAGTGTACTATTATATAACTATGATAGTATCACGGTTTGTTGTTGATGTATAACGCGTTATAAGTACCTAATGGATATTGTGATATGATTAATTTGGAATTTATTATAGGTCAATTTCTTTTAATAAAATAGATAATTATATAATATGTCTTATACCTAGAGTGACATACCGTCTCCGCTCAGAATCGTTTTTCTTATACAATGATATTATGTAATAATAATAATAATAATTTTATTAACAGAATAAAATTCCAATTTACAATAATAAAAAAGGTGGGTAAGTGGATGTCACTCTGCTGTACTGTAGGTTACAAGTGTGAAGTGGGTCACTGTATAATGGATGATATTAAATTTGAATTCAATGATATAATATCATTGTATAAGAAAAACGATTCTGAGGGGAGACTGTATGTCAGTCTAAGTATAAGACATTAAATACTACGTCGTTAATGGGTGACTTCCCCTTCACCCCAATAAAACCCCTTCTAATTTACTCATTGAATAATTTTGTAAATAAAAAGGTGGGTAAGTGGATGTCGCTCTGCTGTACTGTAGGTTACAAGTGGGTCACTGTATAATGGGTGGTATTAAATTTGAATGCAATGATATAATATCATTGTATTAGAAAAACGATTCTGAGCGGAGACGGTATGTCAGTCTAGGTATAAAACATATTATATACTTTTCTATGGTATTAAAATATTAAATTATATGGAATTTATGAATAAATTCCTTAAAATATGCACAGTCTTATCATGAGCATAATTGTTATTCCTTATACTATGGTAGATTGTATGGATAGGCCATAATATTTTGATTTTTCAGTTTCATATATCCCCGAATAATATTTTTAAATTACAACAAAAACAAAGATCGTTAATATTGATTGTTAAGGCATAAATGTAATTGATAGTTTTTTTTATTTATTTTAATAAAGCATTTTTTTGTTTTTAATCGGTTGGCAGCGTTTCGACGTGGTTACGAGTCTGTGTTTTGAGCAACTAACTGAAGGACCGGCGGCGATCGTAGCCTACCTTATACATAATAAAGATAAGCCGACCGGTCCCTATCGCGAACAATTATTGTATCTACTTTTTCCTATCTCACGACAATGAATCGTACCGAACACAGCCGCCCACCTTGAAACATTAATTTTCAACTTAAATTTATAAAATAGGGTAACAAATTAATAATAATACAATAATTAACATAATTCATAATATGACCTACTTATAATGATCAATAGGTATCTTAAACACTAATCATAAATATTATATAAACAACTCAAATTGACTATTAAACAAATAAACAAAATATATAAATAATAAATGTAAATAAACTCGTGTCTTAACCCGGGTGGCCTTTGCTAAATCGCATTCCCCTCAAATGGCAAAGGACAAAGTAAGCGCACCGCCCTTTTCCATACACCGCTACTGGTTTGAACCGATGCTGCACGGATCACACCGTCTGCACCAGGCTCGACCTTGACCACTCGTCCTAAGCGCCACTGCAAAGGAGGCAGGTTGGTGTCCCGAAGTATTACCACTGTCCCAATTCTTACTGACGGACCTTTCGCACCTGCCCATTTAACCCTTTCCTGGAGCTGATTCAGATACTCATTACTCCAGCGATTCCACAGTGTTTGAGAGTATTTTGCCACTCTTCGCCACCTGTCCAACCGGTTATCAGGTGTGGCCGTCTCATCACGCTCGGGCACCGCGGTTATAGCGTCTCCGATTAAAAAATGACCCGGCGTTAAAACGGTCAAATCGGTTGGATCGGAGGACATTGGAGTTATAGGACGGGAATTTAAGCAAGCCTCTACCCTAGTTAGTACCGTACTCATTTCCTCATATGTAAGTCTCGCCTCGCCTAACACTTTGTATAATAAACTCTTCATAGACTTTACCGCCGCCTCCCACAACCCGCCAAAATGCGGCGAGCGGGGCGGTATGCACTTCCATTCGACGCCTTTATCCGCGAGAGCTGTTACAATTTCGTTTTGGTGATCCGAGGACTGAAAAAATTGAAATATTTCTTTGAGTTGCCTTTGTGCTCCAATAAAGTTTGTAGCGTTGTCTGAATATATGACTGAACTTCGGCCTCGACGGTCAAAAAATCGGTTTAAAGCTTGTAAAAATGTTTTCGTCGTTAAATCACTAATCAATTCAATGTGGACCGCCTTCGTTGCAAAGCAAACAAATATTCCGATGTACCCCTTTGAACATGCCGCCTTTCTTCGTAAACTAGTTTTTATCATTATCGGACCAGCAAAGTCGATACCACAACGCGAGAACGGCCGACTCTGTGTTACTCTATCACGCGGTAGGTCACCCATAATCGGCTGCACGATAACTGGTTTTAATCTAAAACATGTTACGCATTTATGCACAGTATCACGCGCAATATTACGCGCCTTCAACGGCCAATATCGCTGCCGAATCGAAGCTACGAGTGCTTGTGGACCGCTATGCAATAGTTGTACGTGTTCACGGCGAAATAATAGTCGTGTGTACGGACTATCAAAGGGTAGGACTATCGGGTTTCGCTGATGCATGTCCAGGTTTATTGCATTTTTTAATCGACCGCCGACGCGTAGAAGTTTTTCTTTATCGTAATATGGTCGTAATCTAAATAGTTTGCTTGTTGTGGCTACTTGTGTACTTCCGCTTAAAGCTTTTATTTCCTTGTCGAAGTGTTCTAGCTGCACCATTCTTATCAATGCGAGGTTTGCGTATTCTAACTCGAATGCTTGCAATGGGCCGACAATCAATTTTTTCTTTCGCCAGCGTAAACAATACGCCGTTATACGTATGATTTTACTTAACGAAGACCGTTCGGATAAAAGTGGATAATTACATTTCGCTGTACAAGTTAAACTGCACGTTTCTGCCGTCGTGGTGTTATCTTTCGCCTCGGGTATATTTGTGTCTGTCGCAGTATACGCTTTCGATTCGACAATTGGCCACGCTGTACTCTCCTCGCTGAGCCACTTGGGGCCATGCCACCAAATCGCATTTTCCTTTATACGTTTTGCCTCACAGCCACGTGATATAAGATCTGCCGGATTATCCAGCGTACTTACGTGTGCCCATTCACTAAATAACGTCAAATCTTGCACCTCCCCGACCCTATGGGCTACAAAGGTCTTCCATCGGGTTGATGGTGACGATATCCATGCGAGTGTTACCTTCGAGTCACTCCAGAATCGACGCTGGACTATAGGTAAATTTAATTTTGGGATTACTCGGCTTGCTAGCCGGGCTAATAGTAGTGCGGCACACAACTCCAAACGTGGTAGCGATATGACTTTCAATGGCGCCACCTTTGACTTTGCGCAAATTAAATTTACGACATTCTTTCCTACCAAATCAGTGCTACGCAGATATAGGCAGGCGCCATACGCCTTTAAGGACGCATCTGCAAAACCATGCACTTGAAATTCTATATTTATACCGTCGCATATTATTTTTCGTGGTATTGATATTTCGTTTAACTGTGACAGGCCGTCCCGACATTTAAGCCATTCGTTTTGAATGCTCTCCGGTAGTGGATCATCAAAACCAGCCTTTACCTGCCACAGGTTTTGCATTATTAACTTTGCATTTACTATTACTGGGCCGAGCAGTCCTAACGGGTCAAATATGGTCGCTATTTCGGATAATATTTTTCGTTTTGTTGTTATTAGTTTATCTTCTATTTGGCGCACGGTGTATAATAGCACATCGTTATCTGAATTCCAATTTAGTCCTAATATCTTTGTTGACTTAGTATCACCCACCGCCCGCACTCCGCCACTGGTACATTGAACGTCTGCGATTAGGTCGCTATCATTAGACATCCATTTACGCAGTACCAAGCCCGCACCTTTCATAATTGCCGTAAGATTGTCTCGTAATTTTAATGCTTCCGATTTATTCATGGCACCCCCTAAGTAATCGTCCATATAAAAATTTCTTACGATTGACAAACACGCATCGGGATAATTTTCGTATTCAGCTTCTGCCAAATTTTCCAAACACGCCGTTGCCAAATATGACGCGGGGACTGTGCCGTACGTTAACGTATTAAGTTGATATTTCTGTATCGGTTGCGTTGAATCTGCTCGCCATAATACTCGTTGGTAACTTCGATGATTTTTCGTGACCAAAATCTGTCGATACATTTTTTCTATATCCGCCGATATAACGTAATTATACGTCCGGAAACGCGCTAATATATATAACAACTCGTCTTGAATCGCAGGCCCCTTCATTAAAATGTCATTAAGACTAATGCCTGTATCGGTTTTACACGATGCGTCAAACACTACGCGTAATTTTGTAGTAGTACTATTTTCATTACGGACTGCGTGATGCGGTATATAATATGACTCTCCGGCGCTGCAGTTATCATCTTCACCGATAATCTCCATATGCCCAAGTTCTTCATATTCAGACATAAAATTAGAATATTCTGTCTTTAATTTTGGATCCCTCTGAAAACGCCTTCCAACGATAACAGCCGACGCTTCGCTATCTCGTACGAGTTTCCTAATTTAGGTTTATCTTTTTTGAATGGTAAGTGTACGACAAACCTGCCACTGCCGTTCCATTTAACATTTTTTTCAAAATCATTTTTACACGCCTTTTCTTCCAAAGTGTATACTTTTTTTTCTCCATACTCCTCGAGCCTCCAGAATGTCGCAATTATCCTTTCCAAATCTGTCTCCGGGGTCTCACCCGTCAGTAAACATATCGCACTGGATGAGTGTTCATATTCGGATTTTTCCGGAAGTCCTAACGGACCCGAAACCACCCATCCCAAGCACGTCTCTTGGAACACCGGTCCCTCCGCTATTGGTTTAAGTCGTCCAGATTGCATTAAATCGAAAAAGTGATTGGCCCCAATTAATAAATCTATTTTCTGTGGTTTTAGAAATGATGGATCAGCCAACTGTACACCGTTAGGAATTACGTAATTTCCTTTAAACACTCTTGACGGTATGTTTGTCGTTATGCGTTTTACGACTAAATACGATGTAGATAATGTGAACTCGTTATAATTTGATATGATCGTTGTATTCACTGTCGACGACACTGTCTGCGCGCTATCTCCGATTCCCGATAAGCTATGATTAATACGTTTTTTCTTAAGTCCTAGCACTTGAACCATTTCTTCAGTAATTAAATTACTCTGTGACCCAGAGTCCAGTAATACCCGTCCGGGTACCAAATTACCTATCTCGTCACGCAATAATATTATCGCTGTCGCCAATAAAATACGATCGTCCAATATTACCGACGCGTGGGCACTTATGGACTTTGACTCTTCATCGCTCCTTCCTGCAATATTCAAGCCAGCTGTTGTCGACTGAACCTGTATTTGTTCGTTTGTCGTTGATTTATTTCCCACTCCAGACAAGTGCAAAAGCGTGTTGTGCGGCTTTGCACATTTGAAACAAAATCGCGCGTTACATTTTCGACCGTCGTGTTTACGTAAACAAACTTTACATAAATCAAGCTCCGTTGCGCGTTTTATTCTATCCGATATGTCTAAACCGCAAAATGTAGGGCACTTATAAATCGTATGTTCTGATCCACACACATAACATTTTAATTTTGACGTAGACGCGAACGACTTCGACGCGCTTCCTTTTTCATAATATTTTTTCGCGCTGGTTTCTATAGGCCGCTGCGCTCGAACACTTATGTTTTTTGCGACCTCTATGGCTTCTAAAACCTTGAATTTCGATTCCAAGAATTGAATAATCTCCGACACCGTTGGCACCTTATCATGCGACGATTTTGATTCCCACTCTCTCAATGTGGTTTTATCAATTTTTGTTGCGATTAAATGTATTAATAGTGGTCCCCAATCCCCGGGTCGTTCGCCTAGCGCCTCTAAAGCCCGCATGTGTCCACTGAGCGTGTCCGTAAATTGTCTTAGCTTACTCGCCGATTCGCCACTCATTGCTTCAAGGTCGTATATGGACTTTACGTGTGCCTGTACTAACACTCGTTTGTTATTGTACCGCTGCACAAGAGATTTCCAAGCTATCGCATAATTATTCGCCGTCGTCTCCAAACATTGTATAGACGCTAGTGCTTCGCCGGACAGTGATGCTCGCAAATGGAAAATTTTTTCTATATCACTTATATCCGGATTTTTATCCACTAATACGGAAAATATATCATAATATGACGCCCATTCGTGATAATTTCCGTTAAATGTAGGCACATTTAACGCTGCTAACTTAACTGCCGGGGTTGCTTTTTTTTCATAGAACGTTTCGCTTTTGCTTTTTTCGCGCTCCTCTGTGCCCTTCGTTTGTGTAATTATTTTCTCCGCCGCCGCCACACTTTTAAAGTATAGGTCCTCGAATATTTCCCTATACTCATTCTGTGTATTTATGTCGACCTCTTTCTGCGCCTCTATCACAGATTGAAGTTGCTCATACTCTATCCACACCTCTTCAATCTTTTCTCGTCGAGCTTTTATCTCGACTGGATCGACATTTGGAGATTGTAGGCTGTTCCAAAAGCGCGTTATCGACGCTTTTAACTGCCCCCTTCGTATATTCATATTCTCAACTCCATCCATTTCGGAGCTATGAGATACTATTATACAAAATGCTTAAACTATCGAGGGTAAGCAGGTACTATTTTTTTTACAATTCGGGTAGAAACTATAGGTATTTATTTTATTACTTTGGATAAAATGTATAACGCCCTTACCTTATATAGACTGTTATTCACTGGTATCCATAGTCCATACGCCACGGAACCACTCACTACACGTTTCGATTTATTTTGAGGTTAGACGCAACGATACCTCGTGTTACTTTTTTTTTTTTTGCAACTATCAATTTTACCGCACCTTTACGTGATGAAAGACTATTCAGACGTTGATTCACAGATCACGGGCGAAGGACCAAATGTTAAGGCATAAATGTAATTGATAGTTTTTTTTATTTATTTTAATAAAGCATTTTTTTGTTTTTAATCGGTTGGCGGCGTTTCGACGTGGTTACGAGTCTGTGTTTTGAGCAACTAACTGAAGGACCGGCGGCGATCGTAGCCTACCTTATACATAATAAAGATAAGCCGACCGGTCCCTATCGCGAACAATTATTGTATCTACTTTTTCCTATCTCACGACAATGAATCGTACCGAACATTGATTTTAATATGTAATTTCGTCCAAATTTGAATTTAAAATGTCTGTAAAAAATAACTGTGTTCATATATTTTTTAGATTTTTTGGTTACAGTATGAACTATTTATGAGAACCTTTGTTTTAAATTTGCAATCTTTAGCTATAAAAACTGAACATTTTATAATTTATTAATTACAATGATTGATAATTTTCGAGATTTTGTCAAAATTCGATGTTTAAATACTTATAAAAAAAAATTGTGCCAATGTATTTTTAATATTTTTCAATTGCTACTGTAAAAATATATCAGGAACCTTGTATTAAATTTTTATACTTTTTGGCGCAACAGATAAAACTTTATTGAAATTTATAGAAAAAAAAAACTAAAAAAATTGAAAAAATTTAACAATTCGAATCTTTTCTTATCTATCGCAATGTTGTAACGTTTTGACGCACATCACCTTATCAGGATTCGTTGATAATAAAATCACAGAATAGATTAAATAATAGAATATTTTTTAAGTGTGTGTTATCATTCACAGATATTTTGGAACAAATTTCGTATTGAAAAAAAAAATTTATATATTTTTAGAGTTAGGAAACCAAGATTTAAGGAATTATGTATTAATACAGGTACGGTTCGCAGGAGGGGCAGTTGCCTACTCTGCCACCCCCGTAGTACCGCCTATGATCATAATAGATATTATTATTGTACAATGCCACGCTGCCGTGTTAGGCACATCGCACAGTGGTCGACAAACTAAAATATAGGTGGCCAAAAATCATTATTTTAAATATTAGAAAACTTTAATTTTCAAAAAATAAAATGTTTGTACATATCCTATTATATTTAAAAATTTTTTTTTTTCTTTGACAAAACACCCATTAAAGTACATAAAATGCTATGTATAGCATAGATATAATGTTGATAAAACATCGATGTACTGTAAATAGTTAGTAGAAATATAATTAAGATAAGTTCTCTGTTAAATATGGTATTAAACTGAGTGATTACCGTCGGTACTTATAAAATGTGATATATTTAGATATATATGTTTATATATAATGATAGATAAAGGTACGTGCGTTTGTGTACAATATATTTGATAAAATAGTATTGATACAACTAAATTAAACTTATTTGTCATTAAAAACGAAGATATTTAGTCTGTTTATTGTTTATTCATCGTGTTACACGACGAAAATTATATCAGTTCGTTGGGAAAAGTCCAGTGAAGAATAATAAATAAAAATTAGCTGCGCATATTTGCGATTTTTTTTCAACCGGTGATTGAAATTGCGTGTACACCATTTTTGGTACCTATTACCTTTCTTTATAGTGAAATAATATATTTATTAGGATTAATATTAATACTGACATTATTCAAAGGCTATTATATTATCATCGGATCCTCTTATAAGCAGTTTTAGAAAAGATGATAAACATAACATAAAAAAACTGCTCCCAGAAGTCGAAGATTATTGCTAGACATTAATTATTGCAGTGATGAAGAACCAGAATACATTTCAGAAAAAAAATAATTATTAAAACACATTGTAATATATTTTATATCAATGAAAATGTATTTTGATGATAATTGTATATTTATAAATATCATAGTTTCAGTTATTTATTTTTGACCACCTTTTTTAGTTTTCGACCACTGTGCATCGTGTGTAGAGAACAACTACTGATTTCTGTCTCATAATATTAAGGCGATTATCATGTTATTCGGATATTATTATGATACATATTGTTGTTGTCGAACAATACGTGGAGTGTGAGATGGTAATTAATATGAACCTCCATTACTCGTGATGATATTATTATTATGATGACGTGTGCCCGTGGGCCGTGACCTACTCTGCAATGTATAGGATTGTGATTTCCAGAGCTTAAAGAAATCTTTACGATTTTTACGCAAAATCAGTTTTTGACAATATCGATTTTGGTTTTTGGTGTAACTCTAAAACAAATGATTGTAAATACATGAAATTTTCACTGAATGTTTATTTAGCCTTTTCTACCATGAAAAATTTTTCATTTTTGGTAGGTACCTATCATAAAAGATTTTCATTTTTAAAAATTATTTTTTAATTTTATGTATACTTAGGGTAATATTAGTATACTACATAATATGTATTACGTAGATATCTATATTATTGTACATTATTACCTACCAATTATAATCTATTAATTTGTAGTCTTATTCATTAGTACACACTTATCAAATCCGTAGTGCACACTTCTAATTTCGGACTACACACTTTGTGTCGGGGTTCACTAAAAAATAGGGCCTGGTGTTCTCGATGTATAGCAGACCAAGCTAGAAATCTGAGCTAAAGCTATACCTACAATGATCACCATTGAATGGTGAGTTAAAAAAGTTTGTAAGTAGATATTACTCTGCTGTACAGTAGGTTACAAGTGGGTCACTGTAATGGATGGTGTTTATTTGAATTCTATGATATAATATCATAGTATAAGAAAAACGATTCTGAGCGAAAACGGTCAGTCAGCCTATGATATTAATAAGTATATTTGATGATATTAAGTTGAATAAAGTAATTTATATATAACCTATTTACGTGGAATCTTGTTTTAAATTTTCAATCCTTAGCTATAAAATTTGAACATTTTATAAATTTTTAACTATAAAATAATTATTAAATTTTGTCAACATTTTAACTTTAAAAGCTTATAAAAAAAATTGTGACTGTGTATTTTTAATATTTTTCCACTGCTACTGTAACAATATATCAGGAGACTTGCATTACATTTCCACGTTTTTTTACCCAACAATTACCTATGAACTTTTAATAAATTAATTAACAAGTGAAACTTAATTTACTCAATTCTATTAGTTTGTAGATAAATCAATTGACAGAAGAAAAGATAAAATAATTTTCAATAGAGAAGTAGCAATTGCAAGTCTCCAAGTACAAGTCGTAAAAATGTTGAGAACTTTTGGTATTTTATGTAATTTAAAATGTCATGACAGTTTGCCATGTTGCAATAAGTAGCCTTTTTTGAGATAATAATTTTTGTATTGCAAGATAATCATAATTTAAATTAATGATACATATGTATAACATTGTTTAATAATAATAATTATAATTAATAAAACTAATTATTAATATTCATAACTCAACATATCGTTTCTATTTTATATTATTGTCTATGGACTATAGTAGGTTATAGTATATTATTATATTATATTATAGTATAGTTACTATAATATTATGTGCGAATAAATACGTAACCTATGTCAACATTAACCAAAACCGTGTTGTGTGTGTCAACATTGACCAAAATCCTAATGTAAATGTCAACATCCACTAGTATATGTTTATATTATGTTAATTTTTCAATATTCGCCAATTCAAAAGGTGTTTGTCGACATTCACTAGGTGATTGTCGGCACTCACCAGTTGCGGACATTAACAGTAACATATATATATATGTATATATATATATATTATATAGGTATTGAATTGTACGTATTTAATATATTGTCACGCCTGCGCCGAAAGTTTGGTTTTAGACCGAGGTTGAAGCGTTGGAAAGGGACCTTCTTCTTGCCGTAAAGTTGTAATGGGAATCCCCATTATAGTGCAGGGGAAAAAAGTGGAAATCCTCAAAAGTGTTGGGCGAGTATATCACGAGTATTCCATGTACAACCAGAGACTGAAATCTATACCACGGTCCTTACAAATCATATACTTTTGGTTACATCTTATATATGTTACGGTCAATGACGAAAATGATGATATTAACATCAATGTGTATTATTGTGCAAAAAAGTATTAGGGCCCTATAATTGTTCCAGGCTCAACTATGGTTTTTTTATGGTAGTTATAAAAATACTTTTTTACTTCTTTTAAGGTATTGGAAGATCTCCTTATGAGGCCATGTTTGGCTGTACTGCCAGAACAGGACTATTATCGATTGGTCTACCAAATGATGAAATAAATTCATTAAGAATAGAAGAAGATGTAGAAGAATTGTTAAAGCAAATGCAAGAAACTGGATTACACGATTCAAAACAAAATATTGAAGAAGTTATTTCACCGATTTCAGAACAGCAAGAAAATATGATGGATACAGGTTAATTGATATAATATTTAAAATTTAAAATTTAATTAAAATAACATACCTATAATTTAAACATATTAGATACAAACCTAAGAAAATGTGAAAGATGTTTTATTTTCCTGGAAGCAGACAATGAAAGTACAAATTGCATGAATTGCCAACGTCATGAGCAAATACAGAATGAACGACATAAATCAAGTGAATGCTTAAAGAAACAAGCCAAAAAATGATGACTATTTCAAATAAGAAATTTACTCCGCTAGAAGTTGGTACCACAGTTAAAGTTTCAATACCCGATGTTGATCGAGCACGTGGATCGCCACGAAACCTATTAGCAGTTATTACCCAG